ATGTAAATATGTAATATAAGTTCTTTGCTTAATCTCTTTTCCCACCCACCCCCCGCCTTCCCTCTGAAATTCATCAGCCTGTTCCATGTTTCCATGCCTCTGGTTCTATTTTATTAATCAATTTATTTTGTTCATTAAATTCTTTGTTTATTTTGATTTTTAGATTCAATTGTTGAAAGATATGTATTTATTGCCATTTTATTTTTCATATTTTTAATCTTCTTTTCTTCCTCTTCTCTTCTTCTCCTCCTCCTCCTCCCTTCAACATTTCATGTAATTAATACTGGTTTGGTGGTGATGAATTTCTTTAGCTTTTTCTTGTCTGTGAAGCTCTTTATCTGACCTTCAGTTCTAAATGTTAGCTTTGCTGGGTAGAGTGATCTTGGTTGTATGTCCTTGCTATTCATCACTTTGAATATTTCTTGCCACTCCCTTCTGGCCTGCAAAGTTTTGTTGAGAAGTCAGCTGACAGTCGTGTAGGTGCACCCTTGTAGTCAACTAACTGCTTTTCTCTTGCTGCTTTTAAGATTTTCTCTTTGTCTTTAACCCTTAGCATTTTAATTATGATGTGTCTTGGTGTGGGCCTCTTTGGGTTCCTCTTCTTTTGGGACTCTCTGCGCTTCCTGGACTTGTAAGTCTTTTTCTTTCACCAGGTAGGGGAAGTTTTGTCATTATTTTTTCAAATAGGTTATCAATTTCTTGCTCCCTCTTTTCTCCTTCTAGCACCCCATGATGTGAATGTTCATATGCTTGAAGTTGTCCCAAAGGCTCCTTATACTATCTTCATATTTTTGGGTTCTTATTTCTTTTTGCCCTTCTGATTGGGTGTGTTTTGCTTCCTCATATTCCAAATCACTGGTATGATTCTACTCTATGGTTGATTCCCTGTAAATTATTCTTCATTTCAGTTAGTGCATCCTTCATTTCTGATTGGTCCTTTTTTATGTATTTGGTGTTCTTATTAAGATCCTTGAAATTCTCACTAAGTGCCTTGAAGCTTTCATTAAATTCCTTGAGCATACTTACAACCAATGTTTTGAACTCTGTATCTGGTAGTTTGCTTGCTTCCATTTCATTAAGTTCTTTTTCTGGATATTTCTTCTGTTCTTTCATTTGCAACATGTTTCTTTGTCTCTGCATTTTGTCTGCTTCCCTGTGTTTGTTTCTATGTATTAGGTAGAACTGCTCTGTCACCTGGAATTGGTATAGTGGCCTTATATATTAGGTGTCCTGTAGGGCCCAGTGGCTCACCCTTCCCAGTCATCTGAGCTGGACACTCTAGGTGCACCCCTGTGTGGGCTGTGTGCACAGTCTTATAGTTGAGCCTTGATTGCTGTTGGCATCACTGGGAGAAACTGGGCCCCCACCAATTGGCTGTGAGGACCAGCTGCGACTACAGTGGAAGAGCTGCTGTGCAGGAGGCACCCCTATGGAGCAGGACTTGCTTCAGCGGGTCTTTGGTGCTCACCGAGTCTGCCCCTTGAGTTTGTCACTCGTGGATGTGTAGAGTTGTAATCTGGCATGGTCTGAAGCTGTCCACCAGGTCTACTGGCTCTGGAGGCCTTCTGGGAGGTGCAGAGTCCACCATTGCCTGTGCCCTGCCTGTGGCCACCCGGCATAAGCTACAGAGTGACCTGCATATGGCCGTTACTTGTGTTGGGCTTGGAGGTGCTCAGGAGAAGCCAAACTGTGAACCTTAGGAGGCTGCTGCTAATTCTGGGCTTGGGGTCTGCTTATCAAGAGGTATGGGGCATACTGAGTCCAGCTGCTACTTGTTTGAGAGATTTTAGGAAAAGTCTGAAGCCTGAGCCAGGACAGGCCATTCATATGGAAAAGCCTCTGCAAACAGCTTGGGTGGGGCTGCAAATTGGGTGAGATGGGGGTCTCAGGGAATCACCAGGGTGGTGAACAGTGAGAGCCAGGTTTATGAAGAGTCAGATATGGCACCTGGCACTCAACTCTGTTGCACGGGAAGTCTCATCATAGGAAAAATGACCTCTGGGAGCACTTTTGTCTGGGAGAGGAACTGTCTGAGTCTCCAGCAGTCTCTATTTCTCTCAGCCACAATCCTAGCTGGCTTTTACAGCCCAAAGTTACGGGGACTTCTCTTCCCAGCCCTGTAACCCTGGGTAGAAGGGTCTGGTGTGGGGCTGGGACCTTTTGCTCCTCACAGGAGGCCTCCGAAATCAAGATATCCCTCCGGATTAAAAAAAATGCCAAATGTGGGTGTTGGACCAGTTGTTCCACACCTCCACCCCTCTTGCCAGTCTCAGTGTGCTTTCTTCTTTACTTCTCTAGTTGTAGGACTTTCATTCAGCCAGAATTCAGAGGGTTCTGAATGATGGTTGCTCTGTATTTCAGTTGTAATTTTGATGTGGTTGTGGGAATATTCAAGTACCATGTTTTCCTGTGCTGCCATCCTCATGCTTTGAATGTTTTAGATGCTGAAACATT